CGCCACCTCCAAGTTCTCGGTGGTCTGGCACTCAAGTGCTGCGTCCAAGTAGACGAGAATGCATCCACGACACCTCCTTTTCAACTCATTTGGGATTTGGGGCTATAGTTGAGGTATTTTTTTGAGCTTTGAGATGTTATTCAGCAGCTCTCAGTTGTAGAAAACTACCTTGTTGTTATGGTTACGCATCATAACAAATGTCCAACAGTAAAAAAGGTTTCAGTAAAAATCCTTCCAGCGGCACAGCATCTGATACCAGAGGAAGTAATCATCTGAAAAAAGTGAATTACATCCATTAATAAAAGAGTAATTAAAGTTTTCAAAAGCAAAATCTCAGAATGAAAGTAAGAGCTACTCCACCTTGAGCGGCACAATTCTGGAACATAATGTTATTAAGGTTTGATCAAAACAGTCACAACAATCCTGTCATTTCCTAGCATAAAATAATCTTAGTCTAAAACTTTGGCATTAAAAGTGGAGGGTGATATGCATTCCAAGGAGCGCCACACCTTTAATTATAAATCATTTTTATTCAAGTTATCAAGTCTGTTATTTCTCCTTCAGGTAAATGCAACATTTTAACTTTCACGTCTCTAAATCAATAATAATTTTAATAATGTCCAGATGCTTGCTCAATAATCCTGGTAGAAAAATCTGAAGAGGTTCAGTCGGGTCATCTGGATGGATTCTTCTTTGTTGAAACGTTTCGTCTTTTATCCAAAAGACTTCTTCAGTCTGAAACCCTGCAACAAACTCAGTCTTATAAATAGCTCCACAAGTTTGCTGCTGACAGCCAGAAATAGCTGTTCACATGTAAAAGGAGGACCAGCAGCCTAACAATTGATCGTTAGAGCTCCATCAATAGGTCATCAGTGCCCTGACCACAATTACATTTTTATTAATTAATTTAATTTCTCAATTGTAATAATTATTTTGTCTCCCATAGATTGAAATCCTTTCTGTTTGCCCTCTGTCCTCAGTGATATTTCATCGTCAAACTAATTCAAAACTTCACCCATCATGCTGACAATCATTTATTAATTAAACTACACAGCACTTGGATCAATGATAACAACATGCTGACTTTTAAGTTGTAAAGTTCAGTGAGGCTTTTTTTTTTTTTTTTTTTTGTATTTCCTTGGAAACACAAACTGAGACAACCTTTCATTAGCACCCATCATTGAATATGTTTCCAAAAGTTCACATCCACGTGTTTAATCAAAGACAAAGAGACAAAGCAGACAGAAAAGAAATGACTCACTTGTTTCTGCATTCTGAGCAGTTTAAAAGAGAAGACCCCCGGCTACAAAGGCTATCAGCTACTCCACGAGTAATCATCGAGCGATTATATTTATCAGGCACCCCATCAACCCTTCACAGTATATTATGGTAATTGTCTGCGAAGGGGCTATAAAATGTGTTTATTGCCTCTGTTTTCTACAAACACTGAGAAAGAGCCCTGCCCCTGTCGTTTCATATATCAGATCAACCTTTTGTCTCCAAGGTCACCGTGTGTACGTCTGAGCCGAGACAGAATGGCAGATGGAGTTTAAATTTATATGTTTGTCACAACCAGTGCTTTTGTATTCTCCAACCTGTTTACAGCCCTTTTTTTTTTTTTACAAAGGTGTAGCTGAGCTGTGCGTCTGATTTGCGGTCGTGCTCTGACCTAGTGCAGATTGAGAGAATCTGACACCGAGGTGGTACCGAGGCCAAAAGAACGCATGACCGGGCCAATGAGGTACTTTATTGTTACCTCTGTTTACATTTGACTGAGACTAGGGCTCCTATAAAAAATGTTACAGACGTTGAAGATGCCAAGAAATGCAAGCCAGATGTAAAGTTGGGGTGCAGCAGAGAAAGAACGAGTGGTTTTGGACAGGAATGTGTGTTTTTGTTTTATGGGTATCTCTTCTTACAGTGTGTCCTGATTCTTTGCTCTCTACTCTCATATTTCACATTACAAACATCTGCCAGCTTCTAAATTTCACCACTGAATTTGTCCTCGTGCAGAAAACGTCCTTGCAGACCTTCTTCTCATTGTTTATTGTAACATACAGGACAGGTTTATCTTTCTACCGTCGACATTTCTGATGCCTTTTTTACGTTTTATCTCCCCCCGTGCATATTAATTTCATTT